AGGGTGATAGGGAGCCTCCCAGGAGTGCCTGAGAGCGCCTGGTCTCCCCTCTTCCTTCCTGAAGCAGTGCAGCAGCAGCCAAGTCTGTAGATCCCTGGTATCTAGGCTTTCTGAGGCTGCTCTAGGCTTGGATGCCTGTGGGATTCCATGTGCTTTCCCTTTTCGGAGCAATGTCTCTGAGCAATCTTTAGGCAGCTCCATATGTGAGGCCCAAGGCCCTAGTGGGTTGAGGGTTTCTCCTACTCAGAGATTATGAAAGCCTGTTTTGGGGTGTGAAGCCCTGTGGATTTTTGTCTTACTGTTTCCCTGTCTTCAGGAGCCTTTCCCCACTCTTAGTCAGTCCCTAGCTGGCAGGCTGCCTCTAACCCTCTCTTCTGGTGCCTCCCATCTCTTTTCTGATAAATCCTAGTGTTCTGTCCTAGAGGATTTGTTCAAAATGTGAATATCTACTTACTACTTAATAGTAAGTAGATAGTTCATGGTTCCTTTCCATGGAGGAGTTACATACTACCTGTGTCTAGTCAGCTGTCTTGATCTGAGTGTCTTCCTTTTTTTTTTTTTTTTTTTTTAATGTGATAGGGTCTTGCTCTGTCACCTGGTCTGGAGTGCAATGGTGTGATCATAGCTCACTGCAGCCTCAAACTTCTAAGCTCAAGCTATCCCTCTCCCTGCCTCAACCTCCCAAGTAGCTGGGACTACAGATGCATGCCATCACGACCAGTTTTTTTTTTTTTTTTTTTTTGTAGAGCCGGGGTCTTGCTATGTTGCCCCAGCTGGTCTTGAACTCCTGGCCTTATACAGTTCTCCCACCTTGGCATCCCAAAATACTGTGATTATAGATGTCAGCTGCTGCACCTGGCCGAGAGAGCCTAGTCTTTTTTTTTTTTTTTCCCAAGATGGAGTTTTGCTCTGTCGCCCAGGCTGGATTGTGGTGGTGCAATCTCGGCTCACTGCAACCTCTGCTTCCTGGGTTCAAGCAATTCTCTGCATCAGCCTCCCGAATAGCTGGGATTACAGGTGCCCACCACCACGCCTGGCTAATATTTTTGTATTTTTAGTGGAGACGGGATTTCACTATCTTGGCCAGGCTGGTCTTGAATTCTTGACCTCATGATCCACCTCCCTTGGCCTCCCAAAGTGTTGGGATTATGGGTCTGTGCCACCACACCTGGCCAAGCCTAGTCTTTTAAACAAGACTCTACATATGCATCCTCTACATATGAGTCAATAGTAACATAGGTGGTGATTTGGGATGGCACGTGAGCTACCACCAGGATCTATGCAAAATTACAGAGCAGGAGAATTTCCTCTTAGAGCTTCTAACTTCCTTTTCTGAATACTTTTCCATGCTCTTCTATGCATTTTCAGAGTTTTCAGGTTTATCTAGCCCTGCCTCTTCGTTTTCTTTTACTCTCCACAAGTTCCTTTCTCTTTGGTAAATTTCTCATTCACATTAAAATACTTTGAAAGTATTAGTTTCAGTTCAGTGGTCTTTTTGATTTAGTGTCTGTCATTTTCTGAGGAGGACCTACTGTTTGTTCTAATTAAACATTAGTATCACCAGATATCAACACCTGTGAAAAGAAGGGAATAAAGGAATTAAAATCTGAAATTTTAAAAAATAAAAATAAAATAAATTTAAAAATCACGAAATAGTTAAGGAGTAGTACCAGTTAGAGCTTTGGGAAGAGGAAGAGTCTGCTGTTGAGAGGGACTCCTGTAGAGAGGACAGATGTGGCCTTGAAATCTATCAGTAGATCTTGATTGTAGACTCTAATATGATTAAAATTCATTCTAATATGTGAGTGACTAAAAAGCTCGGTTCTTTAGGAGTATTTTCTGGTTTTTTTTTTAGGCAGAGTCTCGCTCTGTGGCCCAGGCTAAAGTGCAGTGGTGCGATCTCAGTTTACTGCAACCTCTGCCTCCCCAGCTCAAGCCATTTTCCTGCCTCAGCCTCCCCAGTAGCTGGGATTACGGGCACCTGCCACCACTCCTGGCTTATTTGTATTTTCGTAGAGATGGGGTTTCACCATGTTGGTCAGGCTGGTCTTGAACTCCTGACCTCAGGTGATCTGCCTGCCTCGGCCTCCCAAAGTGCTAGGATTACAGGCTTGAGCCACTGCGCCTGGCCAAATATTTTCATTTTTTAATTGCTTATGAATTTCTAATTGGAATATTGTTGAGATAGATGTTTTGAACAAACTTTGTTCTAGGAAGTAAAATTCATGAAATATGTATGGCAATTGTCTACTACCAGTCATTCTTTCACCCTCAGTTTTTGAACTTTCACACCTCTGCTTGGTATAGCCCATTTTAAATCGTCACAAACATTGTAAAGTATCTTTTCTAAACATGTTGTTTTTTATTTATTACAGGTCCTACTGGGTAGGTGATATCAGCTGGACGCATGATAGTCTTTTTCTGGCTTGTATGTTAAAACGTGGCTCTCTGGTTTTATTGACCTGCCAAGGTGAATTGTTAACATTAATTACATTTGGTTGCTCTATAGAATTTGGGCCAGCAGAATTTATTCCTCTTCATCCACTAATAACATATAGGTGAGACATTTGATTTGTGTTAATTTGTTTATAGATTTTTTTTCTGTTTTGTGTTACTTTTACTGTGTATTTAAAAAAAATTTCATCTTTCAAATTGTCTTACTTTTTCTTTGAGTCTGTCATCTCAATATCTGTTTCTTATTTATAGTTTTCTTGTATTTCTTTTTGTGCTTAATCCTGGTGAAAATTTGACATCGTGAGTATGTAAGTATAAGTTATTTAAGTATTTAATAGCACTAAAAATTATCTTTGATATAAAAGTTAATAAAAGTATGATATAGCGTTTATTGTTATAAAAGAATAGCACTTAGAAAATTAATAACTCAAAATTAACTTTACATATGAATTTTCCCAAAGGGGAAAATTTATTGGAAATGGATAGAAAACTGTAGGATTTGGCCGTATTTTAATTTTTGTTGTTGTTTTTAAAATTTTTTTTATTGATACGCAATATTTTACATATTTATGGGATACATGTGATATTTTGTTACATGCATAGCATGTGTCATATAATTTTTACTTGTGAGATGAAGTAGCAATTTGGCTTTGGAGTCACATCAAGATTCACATACTGGTTCTTTTACTTATTAGTTGTATGACTTTGGGTTAGTTATTTTTTTTTTTTAAATTTTCAAATTTTCGTTCTTATTTTTATTTATTTTTTTCTTGAGATGGAGTTTCGCTCGTTGCCCAGGCTGTAGTGCAGTGGTGTGATCTCAGCTCACTGCAACACCCCCTCCCGGGTTCAAGTGATTCTTCTGCCTCAGCCTCCCAAGTAGCTGGGATTACAGGCATGTGCCACCACGCCTGGCTAATTTTGTATTTTTAGTTACAAGAAGGGGTTTCACCATGTTGGTCAGGCTGGTCTCGAACTCCTGACCTCAGGTGATCCACCTGCCTTGGCCTCCTAAAGTGCTAGAAGTACAGGTGTGAGCCACCGCACTCGACCAATTTTTTTATTTTTAAAAATTTCTTTTGATCTCCAATCCTGCAGAAGGGTTATTCTTTAAGCCTGTTTCTTTTACTGTGAAATGAGTGTGACACTAATTGTGTCTTAGGGTTTAGAGAATGAAGTAAGATAATACATAATTGTAAATCAGCACAGGCTGGCATAAAATTAGTGCTCAGTAAATATTTGTTATTATTGATGTTGATTATATGTGGCTAGACATATATGCATAACTATTTATAAGACAGAAAAGTTGGAAAAGACCTTTGAAATTAATCTGTTCCTTTTGCTTTGTAGAAAGGAAACTGAGGTAGGGTGTTTCCTTGATTATATCTAGCAAAAAAATGACATTTAATTTAATTTAATTTTTTTTTTGAGATGGAGTCTTGCTCTGTCACCCAGGCTGGAGTGCAGTGATGTGATCTTGGTTTACTGCAACCTCTGCCTCCTGGGTTCAAGAAATTCTTCTGCCTCAGCCTCCTGAGTAGCTGGGATTACAGGCGCGCCACCACGCCCAGATAATTTTTGTATTTTTATTAGAGACGGGGTTTCACCATATTGGTCAGGCTGGTCTTAAACTCCTGACCTCGTGATCCGCCCGCCTCGGCCTCCCAAAAATGACAATTTTTAGCAATTGGTAATGCTAATGGAAAAATGTGTCACTTCCTGCAGTGAAAGTATTTTTTCCTTACTTGTGGTCTAATTCATAATTCATTAGAATTTTCTCATATTCTCCTTTAAAATTAATATTTGGGGCCTTCCAAAACTGATTGCTTTTTTTCTGATTATGAAAGTATAGTATTCATTATTTATTTTAGCACTCAAAAATCAAATTTACAAAACTAAATAATGTGGAAAATTAAATACTTGTAATCCTGTACTTCAAATATAACAATTATTAACATTTTAGTATGTTGTCCCCCAGATTTTAAAAATATTCATATAACAATGATAATAGCAATATTTGTTTCTTTTTTAAAGACTAAATTATGTGATATATCCTGTTTACTATTTTTCATTTTTGATTTAACAGTATATCCTTTATATCTTTCCATGTTAGGCATTATTTTTAATGGTTCTACAGATGTCTGTGGTGTGTATGTCCTGTAATTACCAATTTTCTATTGTTGCCATTTGACTAATAAAAAAAATCTGTATTTGAATAGCTGCCTAACCAGAAAAATATTACAATATACTTTGATGTTTTGTTCCTTTTATATTTGTAAAGCCCCAACTTTAATAAGGAGTGATATTAAGTAATCAGAATCAGGTACATCATAATAACAATAATGTATGTTTAAGTTCAGTGGAAACTCAAATTTAAATAGGTAAAATTTTACTCACCACCATTCTCTCCAAATCTTCTCAACTTTTTTCTTTCTCCTCTTTAATAAAAAGTATACTTATAGCTCATAATTTTATTTGTGTAAGTATATTTAAATATATGGTAAGAGGAAAGTTAACTATTTAACTCTCTTTAATAGTAAAATTATTTTCTGAAATAGGTTGTATGTAGATTAAATATGAAATAGAATAAATGCTACCATTTAGGAAAATTTTAAAACATATGAACCTATATATTATTTTGTCTTAATCACTGTGTTATATTTTCCTGAAAGATATATATACACATTTAATATTTTTTGTGTTTCACCTGCTTGCTTTTTCATTGTTCTGTAACTTTTTCTTTTTTTTTTTGAAAAACGTTATTTTCCTTAAGATCTTTCTCTTACTGATTCTTGTATTTTGATGTTTGTTTACTAGACCACAGCAGTTTACGTTTCAAGATTCAAATAATTCTGTTGATTCATCAGCTTCTGATAGTGACCCTATGAGACAGAGATTTTCTATAAAAGCACACTCACAGTTACCCTACCTCGTTATATCTGATGGATATATGGTCACAACCCTTCGATTTCTTGATAACTTGTCTCCGTCAGTGCACATGAGATCACTTCTACTTGATTCAACCCAAAGGCTTGAGAAAATATATCAAAGTGTGATCTTGTCTAAGGTACAGGGCTTTTTTATATCATTGGGAAAAGTTGCCTTTTTCTTTTCAAATTTAAAACTTTACTGACAATAATGTCCTTGAATTGTATACAGTTGTCTATAGAACTTTTAATTGCTTATAATAGAATTACAGATAACAGTTTGCTCTTGGAAATCTTTCATCTTTTCTTGTTTAGCCAGAAGGCAAAGGACTGAATTTGCGATCACTGAATTCCTTAAGGTCTAGCCTGTTAAAACACCAACGAAATGAAAGTTCAGCCGATTTCACTGTCCCCAAATTCTTGCAGGCAGAAGAAACAATAAATTTAAATGAAAATACAGCAGATTTTCAGGTACTTAGTAGCAGTATTTTATTTGCTTGGAACAATTATGACTTTATTCCAAGAAACATATTTTGTTTTTCTCTTGTTAAAGGGAAGAGAAATATAAGAACACCGAAGTGATTCTATTGATAAGGTATTAAATGGTATTAAGTATTGTTTTTTTCCCCTCATGTTTTAGGATTTTGAAGCAGAAGAAACTAACAAAGACAGACACTTTCCAGACAATTTATTTCCTTTTTGGAACAAAAGAGATGATGGGCTGTGTAGTACTATGAAGGAAGGAAGATTGGAATTTGCATCTATGTTTGATACGATACATGCAAAGGATGCTAGTGAGGAGACAGACAGAACCATTACAGAACTGCATTCTATCCAGAAAAGTCTACTTGCTGCGTGGACTATTGGAATTTCAAAAACTGTGACAGAAAAAAATTTAATGTTAAATTACATAGTAGTTTGTATCACTCATTTTTTTTACATTCTTCAATTTATAAAATGTCCTTTTCCCAAACTTGATCTTTTTTTAAGCAAAAGCTCAAGACATAATGCATGGATACTTTGTATCTTTCAACTTTTTCATCAGTGTTTATCAATCCATTATTGGGATACAAGATACAAACAAGATGTGGGGCATTTGATAAAGCTGACCTCAAATACTATAAAACTTTTGCTGACTCAGCAACAAAAGGGTCAGTTATTCTCAGAGAAACTTTTAGCCTGTTTTTATTTACTCAGAATGGTAGCTGACAATTTAAATGGTGTATACAGTCTTCAGCCTGAAGTTATTTCAGCATCAGCTGATGGAAGTAAAATAACAGCTCAAGATTCATTGATGGTACCTATTTTTCAAATGTTTCGAGATAGTGGTTCTCAGGAAAACTGGTCTTGGAACTCATTTTTCAAGATTCATCCTCAAGTAGTAAATCTTGTGCAACAGCCAGGACACAGGTATAATCACTTATTTTAATAAATACTGGGATACTATTAGTTTGGATGTTTTTACTTTTTTAGAAACTGAGCTACAATTCCCATATTGTAAAATTCATCATTTTAAAATGTACTATTCAGTGTTTGTTAGTATATTTATAAGGTTGTGAAACTATTAGCACTAATTCAGAACGTTTTTATCACCCCAGAAGGAAACCTTGTATCTGTTAGCACTCAGCATTACAGATTTTATTTTTTAAAATATTTAAGTACATGCTTCAAAACATCATGTTAAATATGTCATGTTATATGTGATAAATGTATACACTTTTAGTTTGCCAAAAAAAATTGCAGGATTTATGCCAAATGTTGTGCAATACGTATTTTCTTAGTCTCGGAAAACCCATGATGTTGAAAGATTTTGGTTTAGTTAAGTACTGTTAAAAAATGACCTCTCTTTTTTTTTTTTTTTTTTTTTTGAGATGGAGTTTTCTGTCACCCAGGCTGGAGTGCAGTGGTGCGATCATGGCTCACTGCAGCCTCGACCTCCTGGGCTCAAGCAATCCTCCCACCTCAGCCTCCCAAGCAGCTGGGATGCCACAGGAGCACACCACACCCAGCAAATTTCTTTTTCTTTGGAGAGACGGGGTCTCCCTATGTTACACAGGCTGGTCTC